TGAGTTCAGGGTGGGTTCCCTTACGGTCCATCCAAAATCTCCAGACATCAAAAAGCTTCGTCTTGGTTCAACTTCCACTGCCTTCAGTTGCTGCATGAAACCAGTTTCTTCACCAGCAACTATGGTTACCGTTGAGCTTCCAAAAAGTTGAGTGATGAAGATATCGTTTTCGTCTTCCGGAGAAATAGATGATGGCGGATCACAAGAGGTTTTGGATTTTGGGGAACGAATATCATGGATCCTGTTCCAGGTCTCTACGATGTAAGCCTAAAATAAATCAATAAATAAATAATTATAATTCAATGCATACGAGTGTAGGTGGAGAGAGACAGCGGGTGGGGTGCAATGGGACTTTCTTTCAATAAAGTAAAGTGGGTGTTAGGTTGATGTGGTGGTAGATAGGGTGGGAGGTAGATAGAGTGGGAGGTAGATAGAGTGGGAGTTACAGTGGGTGGTAAATAGCGTGGTAGGTTGAAACCAAGAAGATTCGAGCTTCTATAAGGTGATCTCAAGTGCATGTCCAAAGTAAACAGCCATATTGGAGCTATCCTTTGATTTTTTTTCCATTTGAAAGTGGATTCCGATATCATATTTGCTGTCTCTGCTGCCTTTACCTACCCCGCTTCCCTCTATTCCACAAACTGAGTACTTGAGAACACCTCTTATAAGCTTGACTCATCTTGGTAGATAAAGTAGAAGGTAGATAGAATTAGTGCTAAATAGAATGAATGCTAGATAGAGTAGGAGGTAAATACAATGGAAGTTAGACTGGGAGGTAGAAAGAGAGAAAGAGTGCGAGATAGATCTCGAGGTAGATAGAGCGGGATATAAATAATGTGCGAGGTGATACAACGGGGGTGGATAGAATGTATGGTAGATTAAGTGGGAGGAAAATAATATAGTTGGTAGATAGAGTTGGAGGTAGATACAATGGGAGATAGATAGCTAAGGAGGTGGATAGAGTGGAAGGTACAGTGACAGATAGATAGACCATGGGAGATAGATAAAGTGGTAGGTATATAGAATTGGAAGTATAGCTTTCTCCCGAGTTCCCATTGAGTTCATTCAACCCACCGCTTTTTCTCGGCGGGTGTTCAAGCAATCGCTATGATTTTCTGCGAGTGACTAGATCTTCATTGACACTTATCACATGCAGATCAGATCAACTGATTGAAAACCCGGCGAGAATAGCGGTGGGTAGAACTCAGAGGGTAACGCGTTCTTCGGAGGATAGCTGTAGAAAGAGTGGGTGGTAGAGTGACAGGTAGATAGAGTGGGAAGTAGAGGAAAAAAGATATATGAAAATTGTATGTCTTACTTGAATCTCCTCTTTTTCCTCGTTGCTGAATAGCTTTGAACCTGCGTAGTTCAATCGCGGATCTAGATAAAGGGCCATTTTAAAAGCCCTTGAGTTTTGCAAGTTCCGCAAACGGTTATTCATACTAACAACCAGCACACCAGCGAAAGGATTCGGCTCGGTTTGTTTGACCTTTTGAGTGGCAATAATCCACTGCAGGTAGAAATCAGATAACGATACATGCTCGGCCTGCATGTCTTTTGTTAATACGTACAACGGTTTGAAAGCTTGCTCGTACTTTTCGGCGAATTCCCAACTGTCAGACAGATCTATAACAAAATCGGAAATTATTTAAGGAAATGAAAGGACACTTTAAACATTACCCAACTCCTGAAACTGCTCTGCAAGTTGATCGAAAAATGGCCGCTGCTCCAAAAACTTTAAAATCATTACATAAATTCCACCCCAACGCGTTTGCCCCCAGACCGGAGGATAGGTAGCGCCATGTAGCTCAAAAAACGTTGTGTATTTTACCGACCTGCATTTTTTGGCCACTTTCGTCAGTTTCTGCACTTCTTCGTTGGATTTGTTTACTACGTCCAAAATCGCTAACTGTAACGTATGCACTGCACAGCGAACAAGATTCAGATGCTCCTGCAGTTGGTCACTCAACGCCGCTGTAAGCAACTCCTGCTGTTTTCCATCCTCTTCTTCAGTTGTTATGTTGACTCCATTCGGATCGTCGGTGGCATCGTGTACTGTGAGGAAGTTTGCTTCGAACTCCTGCTTCAACTGCCGCACAGCAGCCAGCATGTTGGCACCGTTGTCACACGTTACAGAAAAAATCTGATCAACAGTCAAGCCGTAGCTTTGGATCACCATCATGATCTGATCCTTTAAAAAAGCCGCGGTCTGTCTCTCTTTGACTTCGATGACCCCTGGAGGTTAAACGTAAAAATGACCATTACGTAGGGTAACAGTGTTTAATTCGGCTTAATGTTCCTATTTTGGATCTCACTGAAAGCAAGTTGTTTAAATCCTAGGTTTTGTGTTAAACCCAAAATAGGAGCATACGCTGAGATAAAATCCCTTAACCCTTTGTGATAGTGCGTATGTTACAAACCCAGTGTTCGCGTGACAATTTTATCGTCGATCGCATACCTGGCCAAAATGGCCAGCACGTGCCTGTTGTGACGTGCCGCAGAATCAACTTTTAAAGAGACTAAGACTCCCTTCATCTCGCTGGCGATCGCATCCTTCACCATCTCCGCACTGACTGTCACATGGCCCTTCAATATGCGGGTATCCATCGACATGCCTACCGCTGCTGTAAGAGGATCAAAAAGCTGGCGCATAGCTTCCCATTCCAAGCAGGATACGGGAAGATTATGGTTTGCGACCAGCTTTACTGATACTTCAACAATCAGTCGCTTGTCAATGGCGCATGGCCGTTTCGTGACAATCCTCGGCTTTTTAGCCGACGGTTCTCCTTCCTTTTGCAACCCTTCGCTGTTGGCCTTTTCCGTGTGGCGTGTTCGGAAATGTCGAACAAAATTGTTTATATCCAACTTTCGCTGTATATAGGTGCACCCACTACCGCTATCGATGTTACAGATGGCTTTATCGCCATCACGCGTAATGAACTTAGCGGCCTTTTCTGCTAGCGTAACACCATCACTACGTTTTTTCTCGCATTTTTGTGGAGTCGAGGATGGTCCTGGACAATCCATTTTTCCGGTTCACCGATACAAAGTAATAAATAGGAAAGAAGGAACGACGCGACGCGTGACAAGTCGACTCAGCACCAAATTGAAGTGAAACCAAAACAAATCGAAGGAGGCAGATTTCGAGTCGTTCATTACGTCAATTGAAACAAGTTTTTGCTTCAAATGAAATGAACTCATGAACTTGAAGAACGAAAATAATTGATAGACAAGTCTTGTTTGACAGAAAACACGTTCATCGTGACTCGATAACAAGATGCAGAATGAAATAGACGAAAACGATCCTGCTCGAAACGAAACGATTTCGTGAAAAGTTCATTTTCCTTTTTATGTTTCGAAAATGCTGGACCCTGAACAACTGATCTGGCAATAACAGAGTAGCAACCGTGGGCGGTCAATCAAGCTCAAGCTCAAGTTCAAGTTAAAATAATAAGCGGTTGAACTTCATCTTCGATTTTCCCAAAACGGTGGACATGTTGCATTGGTCAATTTCGGTCGATCGACAACATTTTAATTTATTTTCGAAGTGTCAATTTTGAGTGTAAATTCACGAAATGGAACACAGCCTTAATAGGCTCGATTTAAAATGGTTATCTGAAGATACCAAATGGTATTTTTGGTTATGAGGAACGTTTTTGAAAATTTTCAGCCAAATAAAAAAAAAATACGGAAATTAATGGATTTGCGAATTCGTCTGGAATCGCTCATAAGTTTCAATGGAAACGAAATATTGCATTCAATTCACCATCATGGCATACTGTCAAGCAAATGAAAATAAATCACTCAAGTCAACAACTTTCTTTCCAACAATAACCGTTTAAATCAACATTTTCGGCTATTTCTAACACAGTGAGGCAAGCGATAACACTACTCGGGAAAAAATCCGTTGCCATATTCGTGAACGTAGAAGGAAATGTACACCGTAAAATATAGTTCACGGCTCTTGTTCACGAATATGAGAACGGATTTTTTAGCGAGTAGCACTGAAATGTACACAATAGTAACCGTGTCTCGTAACTCTCAAACCCCCAACGTTAGAAACCTGCCGGATGTCAATTCAAAATATTTTCAGAATAAAATATTTTTTTTTAAATTTTCTAAAGCTTATCAAAACATGTGAAATTTGCGGTTTTTTTACAAATGTTTTATGAAATTATGGAATAATAAGAAATTATGATGCTATTTTGTATGTGTAAGTGACAAGAGAAAATAATAAAGTTTGTGTTAGACACATAAAAGTTGCAAACAAAAAATCCTAATATCACTTAATTACACCTTATTTTCAAAGCTCGTTTATTTCTCTACCAGAGGATTGACAATCGAAACATAGGGGAATTTACGTATTCTCGTCAATCTAAGCAGCGTCTGCACTTCTACTAGCATTTTCTCAGCGTCACGCACATATATGATGTGTCTGTTTGTTTACATTCATCTGCTGCTTGCTTCTCTATCCATTCCAATCGACAGAATTTTTCAAAACGTTTTGAAAGCGTTTTTACAACGCTCCAAACTTCTCAGGTGAGTGTGACTATTGTCGGCAGCCTCTTTTTCTTCGGCAACCTTCCCATTAGAACTGCGTGTTAAACAGCTGTTCTATTATCGGCAACTCGAAATCAACCCCATTTTGTAGTGCGTATGCTTTATTTGAAGAAAAATGTAGCATTACTGGATTGCTCGATCGTTCAAATATAATCAGATTGAAGCTGAAAGGCTAAACAATCGTTTGGACACATTCAGGGAAGTGCGTTGATGGGAAAACATAGTGAAATTAACGTTTAAATTTAGGTTGCCGAAAACAGTCAATGGGTGCCGAAGCCAACATTTACCCTACATCTATATCAAAAATTTAAAATAAAGTTCGACGATTTTTATTTTCAGCTGTTACAGTGTTGCATAAAACCATAAAACCATAATTCATTCCCTTTACTACCAGTTGAGATGCCATTCTTATAATATCCCGATTTTCTTTATCGTTTCAGGTAAGGTGAAACCCGTGAAGCACTGGAATTCTGTGAGTAATGCGGGACTGGAATTTTTCTTCAAACTACCAACAATACTGCCTGGAACGCGCGAATAGTTATTGTTCACATCAGCTGAGACAATTTCGTAAAAACCGTTACGATCCGTGTTCGTTTATTTGTCATGAACTGATATTAAATTTTTAATTCCCTCCATAAATGTTTCTGTTGTCCTTCTTACGTCTCTTTCGGTTTGAAATCCCGTGATAATATTTTTTTCTGGGCAACCAAAGCAAACATCAGCTGTGTTTCCGGTGGTCGGCTTTGGTAGCCGAGGGGCCACTTTTCACGAATGAAAGCTTGTCGGATGGCAGTCTTCTCTGCTAACATGGCATGGTATGGCGTACGTCATTTATCTTCCGGTTTTCAATAAGTGCTTCCCAATAAATGTCGCCAGAGCAAATATTTGTCGTACGATTTTTTATTCTTTGTTATTTTCTTTATTTTTATCTGAAGCAACCTTACTTGGTGTGGCATTTCGTGAAATTGGCAGTGGTTGAGGTACATGCCTTTTTGCAGTGGGTGCGCGTAGTTAGCACCGGAGGAGGGTGGTGAAGAGAGAATTCCATTCTTTGGCAGTTTGTTTTTAAGGGCAAGCGTTCCTTATTTCCTGGTAGCAAGGATATCTTCGAAAGCTGGTATGTTTAAAATGAAGCACAATTTCCCACCCTCTTGATGTGGTGAGCGCGCTATTTTCCTTTTCTATGGGGAATTTGTCGGTATGCCACGAGCCTTATTAGAGAGATTTGTAATGTTTTACCTATAGAGAACGTCTAGGATAAGAGAGAAACGAATTCAAAAGTATGTGCTTTGGCAACCTAGGCCATGCCTAGGTGTTTTCAAGCAACACTGTCAATGCAATCCAAGATAGGTGCTGCTTGATTGGCTCTGGGATTGACAGTTTGTTTGGCTTAAAACAGGCAGTCGGCTTCTCTCTTATATCCTAGACCTTCTCTAGTTTTACCCAGGTAAATTGTTTTATGGGTTGCCTTGTTCATGTTTGGTTTACGGTGAGATTTTGTGGTGTCGAAAAGTTTTATTGGTGCTGACGGAATGGGGCCTCTCTTAGCCTGTTAGTGATGAGCCAGATGGGTTACGTCTAAAAGTTTCCTGATTTCTGTTCGATCCTAACGGAGATCATTTGGGGTTGGCTATCCGTACATAGTCTGAGATAAAATCGAAAACTAAATTTGATGTTGTGATGCTCTTGGTTTTGATTACTCAGGTTGTACTCATTTCAGAAACTAGATATCATCAGAGGAAGAGATGAGCGAAGAGAATGTTTTGAGCCAAATTAACTGTCAAAATCAGAGCCAATCGAACTTTCCCATTTATTTCCAAGGATTTCTTATTCTTATTTGGTCATATTTGAGAGTATCTAACAGAACATCTAACATAGTAACTCTATTGATTAATTGATCTTTGTTGATTAAATAATGGCACCAAAAAATGCATCAGAACCCTACACACTTAGAAATAACTAATTATACACGTGACGGAATTCATCTTTGATATAAAGGATGAGACGTGAACAAACATGTCATGTAAAATTAAGTGCTCTGAAATTTCGTTACTCGACGAAAAGTACGTTTGATTGAGCTGAATTTTGCGTCTATTATGACTCAATTTTATGTCAAAATTGACGCTCGTATATGTCAGTCTCATAGCACCTAAATTTACATCAAAAGTGTGTAGTCTTAACCACTTCAAACCTAGGGAACAACGAATAGAAGATTAGGAATCACTTAGATGAAGACTAACTAACTCATTTTTTCCTTGTTTCAAGATCATCCTCGGTGGACAAAGCCGAGTCTTGTCACTATCAACAAGGCATAAAAAGTAACAAGGACTAAGATGTGTTCTTTGGATTACTGAAAAATATTGTCCCCCTAGTTTGAAATAGTCTGGACTAGGAATCGGCCGACATTACATCCATTTCCCCAAAAGTTGATCATCAAAATTGAAAATACAATATGCACTCTTTGACAATACTCTGATTACCTTGTTTATAAAATTGTCACCTGATGTGGCCTCTTATTTATTCGCATGACTGAGCAGTCGTAATCATTACGTTCTTAGAACTTGACCTATCGTATCCAACTAAGACATCATTGTGGTTTGGAAGTGTGATTTACCGATATGATACTGCTTTCTACCCACTCTAGCGAGAATGGACTGTCATCATCGACTACCGTGAGCTAATTCAGTGGAGGTATTATCCTTTGTGACATATATGCTGTCTCTGAAATTATTTCTCACCATCAGTTTATTCCTTGAATCAATCCACCCACAGCAAAGTTCTCGAGAATCATAAGGTTTTATTAAGTGAGTGCGTGACTTTGCTACGCTCGCCCAGCATCGTCATAGGGAGAAAAAGTTAGTGTCACAGGAGTCACAACGCAAGGCACGAGGTGCACGTGTTATAAATTAGGTTTCGTACATTTTCCCGTGCCTTCATTCACTTTTCCTACTACGTGTTACGTGTCAACCGATAGCCTTTTGTATCTTTTTCATTCGCTGTGTCCTCATCTTTGTGGATTTCAATATGAACATTAGGGTGGGCCAACTTTACAACCCACTGCTTTTTCAATTTCTATTGAGGTCCCCAACAATTGTGAAAAATTTGAACGTTTTTTTTCGATCTAGATATGTGGGACCTCCCTTAGCTCAGCCGGTGAAGGCGCAGCTACAGAGCAATTCCATGCTGGAGGTGACTGGGTTCAGAATTTATCGGGTTGGGAAATTTCTCGACTTCCCTGGACATTGAGTATTATTGTACTTGCCACATAATTATACCAATCCAAAAATAGTACAGGCATCGAAAGCTCTTTATTAATTACTGTGGAAGTGCATCTAGAACACTGAGTTGATAGCACGCAATAAGCTAATATTCGACAAGCAATAAACTTGAAATGCAAAGAAGAAGAAGAAGAAGATATGCGGGAGAATTTTCAAGTTTGTATGGGAAAAAAACATGGGAAACGAATGGAAATATGCCTGGGACTGATAATGTGCAAACAATGCAGAATAATTTTGTAGAAGATCACAAATCAATGCGACTTGAGTTCAAAAAGTAAATGATTATTTATTTAGAATTCAGAAATTAGCGGAGTACCAACCCCCCCGAGTATTACTTATTGTAGATGTCTCCACCGTACGTACACAATGGGGTCAGCCATCTTTGGTGGCACAATTTTTTCACATCAGAAAACATGTTTTTGTTTCACTTCATGCGGACGTCGAACTCAAGCAAAGAATAAATTATTAGTGAGACTGATGTTGCATGAGGAAAACCATATAAATCCTTTTGATGAAATCAAAATTCATTATTTAGCATGATGGATTTAAATTCAAATCTGGTCTGGTTAATTCCCCGGGAGCATCTGGGACATGCCCGAAACTGACCAATGTAGTCCGCGGCGCTCTAAATGGTCACAATTCATTTGGTTATCATATTTTTAAGGAATTTATTTTGTCACATGATAGGTTTTATTCCTTACCGGTCAAATTTACTATCATGGCTCACATTCCCCGGAACATGTTCCTGCCACATTTCCTGCACCAGTTGACCGATTCTTAATCTGTTCAATAATGTTCTATAACTGAGGCTATGGGATCATGATACTTTTCGTTTGATGGTTGATGCGGGCAATTCGCATTTGTGATTACCGATAAATATGACTTAGTTCCCAAAATACATGTATTTCGGAACTTGTCCCGCCCATATCTCCAAAAATTGTTGAAAGATTCTAAATGTGTTCAACAGCATTCAATGTGATACCATAATTCAAATTTTGGTATCAGGTCAGAATTAGGTATTCATTAGTTATTTTCTCCTGCTCGGGCACTGCTCTCTGAGATGACCAAGTTGGTCATGACGAGTTGGGTAAAGAAGAATTGCATTATAACATGCCATCAACTGGAAATGCTTTCGGCAGCGTGGGGCTTTAGGTAGTGATAAAACGTCGCTAGAACTATTCCACATCGGCTGGTATATGAGCAAAGGCGGGCGTATACTTGTTGGCCTTTTGATTTGAAGACATACTTCAAATCTCCGCGTACATCGTACGGGTTAGACAAAGAAGCGTGCGTTTGACTTGCACTGTCACAATAATGGCCCTTCGCTCATTTAAATCTTCTATTCAATTTTCATACTGCCGTACTCTAACGGAACTATCTACCTACCCTCTTCTAAGATCATTCTCTAATTAATAAATTAGACTAGTTTACAGCATATTTAAACTTTATACGCTGATGGTCATTTCCCATGTGAAATCATGCGCTGAATCCAAAAATGTAGTCTTAAAAAATCTCAGTAGGATAGTTTTCGAGATATAGCTAAAAACTAAAAAAAAAAATGTGTTTACTAAAATACAAATATCTCCGATTGTAATGAAGTCATATTAATTATTTTATCGTCAAACTAAAGGTGAGATCCGGCAAAAAATTAAGTGTATGTTATCAGATAATACAAATAAAAACAATAACCAGTTTGCATAGGATATAGTGTAATTTTGTCCTCCTCATTCCTAAGATTTGTTCGCGGTTCAAACATTATTAAGCGTCTTTAAAAGATATTGCCTATTTTATTGAGATCTTCTACATCTTTCTTTCAAAATACTAGTAAGTTTCAATATGTATTTCTATTTTATGATCAGAATTTTTTTCATACACTCGGGGCAAAATGCTCTACTAAGTTCGGGGAAAATGATCCTTAAGTAATTAAGCTTCGTTTACGTTCTATGCTTTCTTCAGAAATGGTCCTCAGCGTTCTGAAGTCTATTAATTAAGAGGACCTTTGAACAACTGGAGGCTGTCAAAAACGAAGACGTTCTTCTGCCTCAATTGGTCATCATGATTTATAAGACGGCAAGGATAGTCATATTGCCTCATTATTGTAGTACATTTTGCCCCATTTTTCGGGTTTGGGTGCATTTTGCTTCATCATTATGATGTCCCTTTGTTGTACTGCATTTTACCCCAGCATGGGTGCATTTTGTCCCGATTAGTGGCATTTCTAGAATTATTTTGTCAATTTATAAAATCAGTTTTTGAGGCATGTTTTAAAAGTTTTCATGTATGTTGCGAATATAAACAACTAAATAATGCAAGAGAATTTATGCAATACGTGACACTGTTTCTCTTAATTTTAGCGAGAAAACACCTTCATTTCCTTAACTAGTGCATTTTACCCCAGAAACCCCTACGGTGGTTGTGGAGAGCGGTTAGTTAAAGTACAAGCATATTCCCCGTATTCTGGGTGGTGCAGCCCACTCACCGCTATTTCTCGGCAGTCCTCCAACTCTGTTTTTTTTGTATGTTTCTCTTTTCAATTAGGTTTGTAAGATGAATTGAATTACGTACCGTTAGATTTG